CTACTTTTTTGAGGTTGTGGATTTGGGGTTCTTGGGGTTTCCATGAGCTGTAAGCCATAATCATCACAATTATGACAAATCACGGCTTGAATTATCTTGCTTTGCATGTAATGAGTCTCTCTCATACATTAGTTTCGCCTTTTAAGTTGCATTAGTGAAATAAATGAACTTTGCACGATATTCTAATTATTCGAGTTTCACCTGTATGTCCTCTACTGAACCAAAAATGCTGTATACCATTCTTTTAACAAACTCTTTATAGTAATTAGGGCCCATTCATGCCAGATGTGTTGGGGCTGCGCTGGACATTTTATCCAGCGCAGTCCTAACGTGAGACAAGGCAATTTGCCTTGTCACGAATGACACCATTAACACCGCCGCATTGCAGTGGAATGCAGTTGTGTGCAGTGAAAATAAATACGGCTTGCAATACTTTTTTTCAGTGCAGCGGGATGCGACGCAGAACAACTGCCTCACACCCTGCTGGGCCCATAGAACTGAATTAAATATTACTTGTGACATTTCAATAAGGTTCTAAACCAGGAATCTCAGCACTCTGCCTAGCACCGCACACCAGCCGATGTGAATGAGCTCTTAATGTCATGCACTTTTTGCAGTAAAGGCATAAATGTGAATCAGAGATCATTTCAAGTTTTCAAACCTTGTGCTTCTTTCTGACGTTTTACAGATCATTATATCTTGCTTGTTTCCAAGAGCTGTTCATTAATATAACGTGGACTTTCCCTAGTTAATTAGTGTTGTGTAAACACCTACCCATAGTATTGGCACCAATCACTGTTTCTTGTGACTCATCTGATCACCTAAAACAGCGCACTAAAAGTTACAATAGACCTAAATGCTCACCAATGAACACTTAGCTTTGTAGAACCATTAAAGGAAAGCAGCATCACATTACTTTCTTTGTTCCCCTTACATTATGTATTCTCTGCTTGCACTGTCACATGGGGTAGACTATTTATATAAACTTCCTGTGGACGTGTAAAAAGCTCCAGCAGCTTCTGATCATCACAGTTTTACTGCTCTCCTCTTTTCCCTGGCCATCCTCGCCCTTTTACTTGGTTGGGGTGGTGGAGGTTTTTATTTCTCCTAGTTTGAATATACATGACGTTATATAGTTGCACTGGATTCGCGGTCTGCAACTCCAACCTACTGACTGCTGCTACACGATGTTACTGTGCGCAGCAATCCCTTTTGCAGATGTGTTCGTTACATGTACTGTAAGAAAAATGCATAGAACCCTACCCTGTGTCATAACTTACGTCTGTAAACACCGGCTATACTTGCTTGTTAACTTGTTTTGGAAAACAAAGAACAATAAAAATGTATTGAATTAAAAAAAAACAAGAAAAAAAACATTCCTCCGTTAAAGGAGAACTATAGGGTTAAGGCTTCTCCCCATAGTTCTCCTTAGGGTAACGGGAGGACACAAACTAGCGTCCTCCCGTCACCCTAGGCTCAGTATACCGCGAGCTGTAGCTCGCGGTATACTGAGACGCCGCAGCTGAAGCGGATCCCGACAATTGTGCCGGGATCCGCCCAGCTGCGTGACTGACAGCTGGCTCCGCCTACCTAAAGGCAGAGCCAGCTGTACCCGCCCCCTCCCCCGTCCGTTCCGCCAGTCAGCGCTGAGGGGGGAATCCAGCCCCTCCCCTGTCACGGCAGAGAGCCGTGACAGGATAGAGAGGTGAGCGAACGCCGGTATGTGTTCGCTCACCTCCCGATCTACTGAGCCG